CCCCCCCCCCCCCCCCCTCTCTCTCTCTCTCTCTTGGTATTTTTCATCCATTTTCTTTTTTCTTTTCTTCCAATTTGAAATTGACTAATTAACCCCCTGTAGGATTTTCCAATTTGAAAAGAATGGATTGAAGTTTTCTTTTTTACTTTTATCTTTTTACCTAAAACACGCTTAATAAGAATAAAAAATCAATAGTGAAAAAAAAGAATAAAAAATTAATAATCAAGTTTTAATTTCTCTGCCAAAACAAGCTTAATTTAAATCATTAAAAAACTTATTTTTTGGAGGTTGAGGGGTTTAAAGAGATTAAAAAAAAAATAAACTAAAATCTCAATGTAAAAATATCGGTGTATGTACGTTTTTTTTGGGTAATTAAGAAGATGATAAAAATCATGGGATGCTTGAGGTTGAAGAATCTTTGGTTATACAATCGTTATCTCTCAACCTCCACATTTGTTTTTTTTTTTGTTTAATAAAGGCATTTAAGAGCATCACACTTCTCGGCTTTTTCCTTCGATTCTAAGATTTGACATTCTTAGGTATTTTTCCCACATTAGATATTCACTTTGATTTTTGGATTATTTGTAATATGGATTATAAAAAAAAAACTTAGAAATAAATGATTTATTATATATCAAATTGAGATTTTTTTATATCTCATTCTGTGTTGGTTTAGCCAAATTCGATTGTTTTGATAATTGTTTTTTTACAACGATAGAAACTCCGAGTGCTATCTTGAGGAAGATAATGAGGTCAATATAGTTTGAATCAATAACAAAATATAAATTAAGATTTGGGAAATATAAGTTAAATTCTAAATAAAATTACAAAAAACATAAACGATATATATATATATATATATATTTGCCCAAGTCTTCCACCATTATTCAAAATTCGAATATAACTTGAACAGTAGTGTGATACATCGTGGGAGACTTTGGTTTCCATTAATGTTCTAAACTAAGAATTACATTATTTTTTTTATGAAAACGAAATGAAAATAAAAATATTACTTTTTTAACAGAGGAAATTTTCTGGCTTAGTTTACAATACACTCAGGTCAGATTACCTAAATATTTTACAGAATCAGACAGTTTCACGTGTTCTGTTTCAGATTATAAATTTAAAAAATTCAGAGTTTATTTGTTTTCAGACCAACAAACATGATATTATAATACATCTATATATATATATATATATATATTCTACCAACAAAATAACAGAAATAACCTGTTAACGGAAAGAAAAAACAAAAATGTGACAATAAAAACAAATGATATATATATATATATATAAATAATGTATATTTTTGTGGCCTCTAAATTATATGACATCATATGATGAGACTAAACAGTTCCGTGTGTTCCACTTTAGGAGACATATAAATGTCAAAAATATTATTATTATTTTTTAGTCACCCATTCAAAATTAATATTTTTTTTTTGTTTTTTACTTGCGTCTATATTTAATTTTGTATAAACATGGTTATCGGATGATACGTGGCCGATTTTTAGTATATTTAGATATAAACTACATAATTACACGTATTATTTTACACAAACTAATAATACAAATTAGGAAAAATAAATAAATGAGATCATAGATAGATAAAAGGCACGTGTGGGGGAGTCTTCCTTTCAACTTGGTTGAAATTTTAATCTCATTATTACTTGAATTGTATTCCAAGGCCTAATGATGATTTCTATTTCTCTCTCTCTGTAATTATTACCACATCGTTTTTTGTTGCCTAATTACCAAATCACTAATCCCATATCGTCCTAAATTTTAATCAGTGTTTCATTAGATTATCTGATTATTTTTATTTTACTATTAATATTTTATTCCTAACCCTAAATTTTAAACTGTAAAAATTAAAATCTAAGCTCTAAATTCTGAATTCTAATTTAAAATTGATCTTAAAATCTAAAATCCTAATTTAAATTTAAACTCCATATCTTATGATTTTTATATCAAAAATTAAGATTTATAATTGATTAGGAGTTTAGATTTAGGATTAGATAATTTTTTTATTGTAATGATAATGCAACACTACTAATAAGTTTTGGGGCTCTACTATGTCAAATGTAATAGCAAATTCTTTTGATTTTAAGATTTTGATTGTTAAATAAATCTGCTCAAATGTAATATATTCATGGCAACAAAATGATGAGTGTGACTGTGTGAGTATATATATATATATACACATTGTTTATATATCAAAATTAACGATTACTTTATAATTTCTGCAGTATCCAATTTAGATATTATGAAAAAGATTGTCCTAACCTCCAACAAAATCCAACAGAATCGATTGGTTGGTTGGCCAAACCATCCGAAAATTAATTACTTAATTATTTCATTAACTGTTGGAGAATGAGGCTATGATTTGGCATTTGCCGGATTCCTAACCGGGAAGGTGAACCGCACGCGCGAGGCGAAGGCGCGTGTGACGAAGTAGAGAATCAACCTCGTCTATGAAAAATTCTTGGGATGGTGAAAATCCTCCATCACAAAAATATCGAAAAACACAGACAGCGACACTGACGTAATCATGATTACCGTAAACAAATCAAAAGCACCCCCCCACCAAAACCCAACAGTTCCCAGCCCGAAAGGCCAAAACTTTACCTGATTACCGATTGATTTAACATCCGAAAAATACCCACGAAATTAGCAGATCATGCAGTTCTGCTTTTGTTCTGTGTTCGTGTCTCGTTCAAGACATTGGGTTTTTTGAAATGGGTTTTTGTGAATATTGCTGGAATCTGAATTGGGTTTTGAGGGTGTGGTTGCGGTTTGTCTTTATAATTAAGTAAAGTTTGTTCAACATTGAGTGAGAAAGTGGCCAACTCTTCCCTCTCTCTCTCTCTCTTCATGATGATGATGATTAAGCTGAAATTAAAATAAAACGATAAATCGAAAAAGGTGGTAAGAGAAAGAAAAAGGTTAAATTTCGTTCATACCAGCAGGACCCGGATTCAAAGTTGCAGACTTTTCTACAAATAACAAGGTAATTTAAACAAAGAAATCGAAAGAAAAGAAAAAAAGAAATGGCCGGAATATTATTTTTGAACAAAAAATATGTAGAAAAGGGCATGAAAGGAAGGGGGAGGGACTAGACAAAGGGAAAAGGAGAACAATAGCAGACAAGAGTCTCCTCTGGCTGCTCTCTTTTTTCCTCTCTCTCTCTCTCTCTGTGTCCGTAACGACAGCTTTCTTTTCCTGGAATTCTTTGAGAAACCCTAGAAGAGAAAGCTACAAACCTGTTGTTTAAGGTACGTGATTCAATTCGTGTGCGTGTTTGTGTGGTTATGCCGAGGATTTTTATGCTGCTTAATTTTATAATCGTTTTGTCTTCCTGGGTTTTCTGGGATTTGGGAAAAAGATCTCTGTTTTCTTCCTCTTGTCGTTGTGTTCTTGTTGCTACTTGAGCTAAAATTCAGGGGTTTTTTTTTCTGTTCCTCTGATCTTTTTCTCTTTTGTTGGGATGTGAAACACATGATCTATGGTTGAGAGAAAGGGGTTGAGTTGTCTTGTAGAAGGTTGTCTCCTGTCCAATTTTCTCTCTGTGATATATATATAAGCATCTGCATAAGAAATCTCAGGGCTCGATTCTGTCGGACAAGCAATTTATCAGTTCGCCTAATTTAAGAACTGTTCATGCGGAGGAGAAGTTAAACATGGCTGAGATCGTCAAAGTTAACACTTGTTTTCCCATCTCTGATCTCTTGGAGTTTTCCTTGTTCCATTCCAGACTGTTGGTTTCCTCTGGATTCCATGTCCCAGGAGCTTTGGTCGCTGAAGCTGCTCCTCGGTGACACAGAGCTACCATGGTAAAGTAACTTGCGTGGTCTTTCCAAATCTCCTGTATCCCGTCTGCGTGTAAATCCTGCAAGTAAAGATAAGATTGTGGCTTTCTTGACGTTATAAACGCACAGATCGTAGAAACTAACACGAAAGATTCAATCTTGAGAGGTAATTTTGTGGGCGAAGCAGAATGTGTCGGGGGAGAAACCTCGGCTTGAATGTAGGAAAGGCTGAAACACGTGTTCTGTTTTCTGGGTTTCAGGTAGAAAACTAGTGTAAAGAAAGATGGGGAAGAAAGGAAGTTGGTTTTCTGCAATCAAAAGGGTCTTTACGCCACACCACAAGGAGAAGCTAGGCAACGTAAGTGTAGCAGATATTATTATCACACTGTAACTTCCCCCAAGTACTTTTGCATCGATTCTGAGAGAAATGGCTCATGGTGAATGAACATGTTGCAGCAGGAAGCGGAGAGAAAGAGCACGAAAGATAAGAAGAAGAAAGGGTTTGGGAAGCTAAGGCATGGAGAGACGAATTCATTTCTTCCCATCTTCAGAGAGCCGAGCAGTATCGAGAAGATCTTGGGCGAGGCAGAGAGAGAGCACAGCCTTGTTTTCAAGCCTCCATCTCCCGCCTCTGTTCCTCCTCCTGTTAGACCTTCTTCTCCTCGGGTTCCATCTCAGAGATTCGTCTCTCCCCCCATTGTTCCTTCTCCAAGACCGACTTCTCCAAGAATCGCCTCCCCCCCACATGCCGCTTCCCCGAGAGACGATCCTCCAAGATCAGTTCCTCCTAGACACCCTTCCCCAAAGCCTCCTTCTCCAAGAGCGGCTTCACCCCGGGTTGTGCAGCGACGGGAGTATGTGTATAGGCCAGAGCCGACTCCCGCCGTCCTAAACGCTTCTGCGATAAAGATCCAATCAGCTTTCAGAGGGTACATGGTAAGTACCGGTACTTTTGTTCTGTTTCACCAGGGCGCGGCATTTCAAAAAGATAAAGGAAAGTGTTGCTTGTGAAACAGGCGAGGAGAAGTTTCAGGGCTCTTAAAGGTCTGGTAAGGCTTCAAGGGGTGGTGAGGGGGCACAGCGTGAAACGCCAGACAATGAACGCGATGAAGTACATGCAGCTATTAGTCCGTGTTCAGACACAGATCCAGTCTCGTCGCATCCAGATGTTGGAAAACCAAGCCCGGAGACAAGCCAGGAACGAAATAGATGACGCAAGATTGGCCGCTAGCATTGTAAGTTGGTTTATCAGTCTCGTAGTCTGCCGTTTTTGGTGAAGACAAGAGCCGTCATTGATCATTTATGATGAGTTCTTTCAGTCTGAAGCTGGCAACGAGGACTGGGATGACAGTGTTCTGACAAAAGAGGAGAAGGAAGCGAGGATGCAGAGGAAAATTGATGCGATCTTCAAGAGAGAACGGTCCATGGCCTACGCGTATTCTCACCAGGTACTCTCATTCTTCCTCATCTCTCTCTCCATATCAATGTATATTTATATCCGTATTTACCAACATCTTCCTGCTTGTGTTCTCTGGCAGTTGTGGAAGAACAGTCCCAAGTCTGCACAGCCCGGGCTGGCCGGCGTTCGTTCTGGTGGTGGGTTCCCTCTATGGTGGAACTGGGTGGACCGTCAGCTTCCTCTGGGTACTCCTTCCCCGAGCCTGAGCCAAACCTTGAAGGACTTCAGGTTCACGCCCACAAGACCGAGCCCACAGCCTCAGTCAAGCGGTCAAAACCATTTCAACTTCGACACTCCAACCCCGAAATCCTCGGAATCCACTGCTTTCACGCCGTCCAGACCAATCAGAACACCGCAACCATCGAGATACTCGAGAGGAGGAAGAGCCCTCGATTACACTTTCAAAGACGACGACAGCCTCACCAGCTGCCCACCATTCTCAGTGCCCAGCTACATGGCCCCAACTGTCTCGGCCAAAGCCAAGGTGAGACCGAGCAGCAACCCGAAGGAGAGAGTGGCTGGAACACCGGGCAGCAACGAGAAGAGGAGGCTGTCGTTTCCTCTGGCTCAAGGCCTCGGGTCTTTCAAATGGAACAAAGGGTCATTGTTCATGAGCAGCAACAACAACAATGGCGGCAAGGTTTCGTCTAGTGGAGTTGTGGTGGAAAAGCACAAGACCCTTCAGTCTATAGGAAACACGAGCGTTGATTCCACTGTCTCCATGCCGGCTGCTGTTGGGAGGAAGCCGTTTAACAGATTTGCGTGATTTGCCTTGATTTTTGTTTTGCATTCTTCAGTTTGTGCATCCTTTCTCTGGAATTTGTTCCCTTTTTCTTCTTCTTACTTCATTTGTGGGGTGGTATTGATTCGAGTGCCTTTTGTTTTTGGAATTTGGATTACGAAACTACTGATGTAACATAATAAAGGAAAGAACAATAGCAGACGATTGGCTTTGAACTACGACTCTGGTTACATTGTATGAATGGGTCAAAGTATGAAACTTGTGTCCGAAATTCAGATGTTGTCAGAATATTTTTACGGCCAAAGCTATGATTCTGCAGTTCTTGTTTTAAATATTTGATGTGGACTGACCAGTTCTTTGGCTATTCGTGCGTGGATCATGAGGATTGGAGAATGCATACACGTCTGAAATCCGACTGTTATTGTTGTTTAATATGTTACTTGCGTATTAAGTTACCGGGTTGACTTTCTCGGTTCTTCTGAAGGGCATAAACGACAGAAGATCTTGCTCAGGACATCGTCCATTCGAAGCTGGCAGACGATCGATCATGTCCCGTGAAACAATCTTACAAGCTGTTCTTGTGCTGGTCCTTCTGTCTTCGCATACAGATCACTCCCATGGCAAGTTCAGTATGCAGGGATCCGCGAGCGTAACCAATGGCTTCCTAGCCTTGACGAACGCCACTAAACATGCTTACGGTCAAGCTTTCGATATGAATCCGATGCCTTTCAAGAACTCCTCCAACGGTACCGCAACTTCTTTCTCTGTCACCTTCTTTTTCGCCATAGTTCCTGAACAGAAGCACAACGGCTCCCATGGAATGGCTTTTGTCATATCCCCCACCAATGGCATACCGGGAGCTTCTGCTGACCAGTATCTCGGGATCTTCAGTCCTTCCAACAATGGCAGCAGCTCCAACCACATCATTGCAGTGGAGCTCGATATCCATAAAGACGAAGAATTTGGTGACATCAATGACAACCATGTCGGTATCAACATAAATGGCATGAACTCTGAGGCATATGCTCCTGCGGGTTATTATGATCACGGCGGTGAATTCAGAAACCTTTCATTGATAAGTGGAGATATGATGAGAGTCACAATCGTATATAGCGGGACAGAGAAGCTGCTTAATGTGACCTTAAGCCCTGCAGACATGGCTGTTCCACCAGAGCGACCACTTTTGTCTTTTAGCCGAGATCTTTCCCCTTACCTGTTGGAGGAGATGTATCTTGGCTTCACAGCCTCAACAGGGTCCATTGGAGCAATTCATTATATGTGGATATGGTATGTTTATACACTGATCATGTATCCAAACCTAGACTTTAACTATATACCCGTCCTCCCTCCATATCCGAGGAAAGCGTCTCTGAGAACAAGGATCGTTTTGATTATCACCTCGACACTGTCTGTGTTTGTTGCTCTTGTTGCCTCTGTTATCGGCTTCTACTTCTATTCGAAGCACAAGAAGGTTAAAGAGGTTCTTGAAGAATGGGAGATCCAATTCGGGCCGCATAGGTTTGAATACAAGGAACTCTTCAAAGCAACAAAGGGTTTCCAGGAGAAACAACTTCTCGGCAAAGGAGGTTTCGGCGAGGTATATAAGGGTAACCTACCGGGTTCTAATGCTGAAATTGCAGTGAAAAGGGTTTCTCATGATTCACATCAAGGAATGAGGGAATTCTTGGCTGAGATATCGACCATTGGCCGGCTCAGACACCCAAACTTAGTTCGACTTCTCGGTTATTGCAGGCATAAGGCCAAACTATACTTAGTTTATGACTTCATGCCCAATGGGAGTCTCGACAAGTTCCTATACCGCTGTCCAGATCACCAAAAACTCAACTGGGGTCAGCTTTTCAAGATCATAAAAGACGTGGCCTCCGCCCTTCACTACTTGCACCACCAATGGATGCAAGTCGTCATTCATCGAGACATCAAGCCTGCAAATGTCCTGATCGACCATGACATGAACGCCAGGCTCGGGGATTTCGGACTGGCCAAGTTGTCCGAACAGGGGTATGATCCAATGACAACTAATGTAGTCTTGAACATTCGGGTACATGGCGCCCGAGTTTGTCATAACCGGAAAAGCAACCACGAGCACAGACATGTACGCCTTCGGGCTGTTCATGCTGGAAGTCGCCTGCGGAAGAAGACCCATAAAGCCACGCGAATCACCTGACAAGATTGTCCTCGTGGATTGGATATTAGATTGCTGGGAAAGCGGAGATATTCTCGAGGCCATTGACGGAAACCTCAGTCAAGAACAAGACCGTGAACAACAACTTGTGATGGTCCTTAAGCTTGGAATGCTTTGTGCACACCGGGTTCCGGCAGCTAGGCCTGCCATGTCTACTGTAATGAAGATCTTGGACGGCGTTACGCGTCTTCCGGACAACCTGCTCGATCTCGTCAAGGTCGGCAGATACGAAGGATTGTCGGATACATACGACGAGGTGATTGATGTGGTGAATCTTCACAACTCCTTGTGCACCTTCTCGTTAACCGAACCTTTCACATCCCGTGGACGCTGAAAGATTTTAATGTAGTTGCGAGTTAAACCTTAATGTGTTGGTCATGTAGTTATTCCTAGCAGTAGCAAACGATCTGGATCGTCGATTGGTGCAACGGTAGATCAGATGGTGTGTTCCATATGTCTGTAAGCGAGATTGTAAATTCTGTCTCCTCCTCCTGTTCGGGTTTCGGTTCGGGTTTACTTCGGTTATTTTAGTTAAAGAAAAACTATCATTCGGTTTTATATAAATTTTGGTTTAGTTATTTTTCGGTTCAGTTCAGTTCGAATTTAGTTTTTTTAATTAAAAAATCGTAACCGTTCGATTTTTTATATCAGATTTGGTTTAATTACGGTTATATCTTATTCGATTGGATTCGATTATTCGTTTGATAACCAAAATGATCACCTTTTTTTTCGGTTCATAATTTTTTTTTATAACAGAAAACCCGTAACTGCTACCCTTCGAACGCGCTGACTAGATAAATCTCTGGTCCGGAAACAACCTTTGTGTATGGATCATATAAACCCAGATATTACCTCTCTCCCCACGAATCGAGAATCGAACACTCGACATCAAAGTGGGGTTACCTCTTACCTAAGTTTGATCATTCGTTGTTGGGTTCAGTTCATAATTATAGTTAACCAGTTATATATTTCTCCATTTTTTAGGTTTACGTGGTCGACTCGTTACAAACCTTTTGTCTAAATATTAAAAACTTTTGCATTTAATCTCAAGGTATATATATATATATATATATATTTGTGGTTGAAACAATTGTTTTTTAAATTCGTGTACCGTTGTCCGCAAAAACCCAATTGAGATAAATGTTTCAAGATCATAAGAGACATGACGCTGCTCCCTTCTATCTGCACTAGTGGGTACACCAGTATAATTTCGTAGGGACAAGCTTAATTTTATTAGGGAATCATTTATCATTTTATTTAAATTTTTACAAAATTTAACAAAAAAATTAAGATTTTAAATTAAATAAAAGAGGGCACATGCGCTCATTGTATATAAAGTAGGTCCGCCTCCAAGCGTACAAGATTCGTGAGGACATCAGACCTGCAAACTAGTGGTGACGGTTAGACCTTCCATGGTTATCGTATCCGAATCGAACGATAACGTTTTTAGGAAATTGAACCAAATATTCAAAAACCCTAAAAACCGAAAAATTAATTTTGTTTCTTTGTATACAGTGAAGTGATTCATAGTAATGTGTCTCTGTGACGACTGTACGTACACCGTGTGATGTTTACAAACGATATATAGTGTATGCGTTTGTTTTGTGTTGTGGAAATGGCAAGTAGGAGCTGCCTGCCAAGTGGGAGATTGACGTGGAGGATACGAACCGACAACCCAAATACACTCGTCTCTTACCATTTATTTTATTTTAAATAAAATAAATATATTATTTTTTATTGTCACATCACACCTATTTATTTATTTATTACAGCGGTATCGTAGCGTTTACAACTTTAGAACAGATATTTTCAAAAATCTATATATATACACATGGTGTTAGTTCGATTTCTGATTGGTGACGAGGGATGTAATTTTTGGGTTTATATAATTCATATACAAAAACTGTTTCTGAGTTGGAAATTTACCTAGTCAGCGCACAGCGCACCAAAGGACTTATCAAAAAAATATATAGAATCACTTGATTTGTATCGTATTCATTGATTTTTTAAGGTAAATGCTTAATTAACAAGATTACCTACCGCCCAAAAGAATAAAAAAAAAAGAGAGTAATTATGTGAATTTGAAGAATCTCGAGGGTATTTTTGGTACAGATGTCAAGAATTTTGTAATGTAAAAAAACTTATATCTTTAAAATAAGAAAAACGAAATATTACGTTTTTGCCATTTGGTGATGTTTTATTTTGTTTCCATTTCGTCGCTCTCTCCCCTCCCTTCTCCACCGCTGTATTTCATACGACACTCTGTGGAGGAAACTGAACCTCTGAAAAGCCGAACCCCACGAGGAAGACGAAGCGGCGAAAATGGCTTTCAAGCTCAACCCTTTCGTCTCTCAGCCCTACAAGCTCCCTTCCTCCGCT